TATTGTTAGAGGAGCTGCTAGGGTTTGGTCATTATTTGGCTATGGAGTATGAAATAGAAAGTGAAAAGTCAAAGATGAAATTCTCATACCATCATCAACTGGAAGAATGGAAATACCTACCATTTACTGAGAAGGGGAATCCTGGGGAAGAGGAGTTTTAGAGGAAGTTAAAGATTGTGATTTTACACATATTTCATTTGAAATCCCTTCTAGCCATCCAAGAAGGAATGTTTACCAAGACGTTAGATACTGGGCTCTGAAGGTCAGTGCAGTGGTCCAAACAAGATAGGAAATTGAAAGCCTCTTGCTTCAAGATGATATTTAAAGCCATGGGACCTGACAGGATATCTTTTAGGAGAGAGGGCCGGGAGCACTTGTGCCCTAGTGGTAAGAATCTGCACCGCAATCCCAAAGTCACGTGGTTTCAGTCCACCAGCTGCTATGTGGGAGGAGTCTCGGCAGTCTCCTCCTGTGCTGTTAGCTGTCCCTGAAAACCCACTGGAGGTTCAGCTGTGGGTCAGTTCTGACTCAGTGGAACACAGCAACAGCAACAGATGTTGGTAGAGTGAGCAGGAAAAAGGTCTTGAAGTTAATAAGCCTAACAGTCTCATTGCAAGAACAAGCAATAAGCAAATACATAATAGTACACAAAATAAGTGTTATCTTGGTCTAAAGACCAAGCCCTAGGATGCTCTAAATTTTAGAGGACAGGAAGATGACTTAGAATGAGCAGCCTTTACCTATGAAGAGAACAGTGGTGAGAGAGAGAGAGAGAGAGAGAGATGGAAAGTTGGTAGTGTACTTAAGGAAAAAAAAACAACAGTGACCTGTAGGATATAAACATGGGAGCTGATGGAAAGTATGAGGTAGGGAAGAGAGGTCCTGGACTGTGAAGTAGAGTTGCCTCATGGGATTAGAGGTTCCATTGTGATTGAGAATTTGTTCACATTGAAGGCTGCATAGAATTGGAATGAAAAGCAGAAGACAAAGAAGTTAGAGAAATGAGTTAAGAAATTAACAGATTAGCTATTAGCAGGATTATATATGGATAGCAAAGTTATTAAGAGCGAAGACAAGAGCAGTAAATTATTTCTAAGACTATAGGTGGCCCCATTGGACATTTGGCTTATTTTCATCTAGTTTACATCAAGAGGTGATATTTCCACTATTGCTTGGTTTATGAAATTTGATTAGGCAAATTCTAAAAAAAATTACTGAAGAGGACCATGAAACTGTTATTCCACGGGAAGTTCCTCTCCCTTTTTAGTTTGTTCATGTGACTATATTTATCCAGATGCTGCCTTTTCTTTATCTCTGTTCTTCCATGTATGAAGTAGAAAAAAGAGCCTATTACTCATTTTGTATAGATCATCAAGAGAAAGAAAATGATAAACTAGTCTGATTATGAACATAGTTAGAAAAAGAAAGCCCTCCCAAACAAATATTTAAAAATTCATACTGTTGCATTTACATAAAAATGTATTACTTTCTGACTGAGCTGGGTTTATCCAGTGAATGTCAGGTTAGTTTATCTTAGAAAATCAGCAAGTATAGATCATTGCTTTAAATGAAATGCAAAACTATAGAGCTTTTAAATACTTAAGAGGAGAATATCTTTATTATCTAAAAGTCAGGAAATATTTATTTAGTTTTTAAATTTTATTTTATTTCATTATTTGTTGTGTGTACTGTCAAATCAGATCTGACTGATACAGGAGGAGATTGTTCCTCCTTCTCCAGCAGAGCATCTGGTGGATTTGAACCATGTACCTCTGAGATTGCAGTGCAGCTTCTTGCCACTAGGCCACCAGAGCTCGCCAGGAAATATTTATTAAACAGGATTTAAAGATACAAAAGGAAAAGATCATAAATTGGGCTACTTTAAAATTAAGAACTTGGGCTTGTCAAAACATACAAAGAGTGAGAGTTAGTTTCAGAGTGGAAACGGAAACATGGAGTGAAGAATTGATGAAATGATTTCTTTACCTTTAGCATGGAGGTGGGGGTGCAGCTGGAGATTGGAAGTGCATGTACAAGGCTTCAGGATGTTTTTAAATACTCGTACACTTGAGGCTGTAGTATTACTTTAAACCGAGCATATGGTTTATGTGTATATCTGTACGTAAACATTTTCTTAGGAAAAACTGAAAGAAATGAAACAAGTACAGTTGTTGATTATGTAGTAAAAATCTTAAATTTGTGAATGGATTCTTCTAACTTTGAATGCAGTTTCTCAAGCTGGTTATTTTATTCAAAAGTACTGTGACCCAGCGGGGGCCTGAAAAGGCAGGCTAATGATGGGCAAGGCCCAATGGTAATTGATTTTATGAAACATGTTGCATTGAAATGATTGTATGAAAAACTGTGAATGAAGCCTAGTGTGAAACACAAGGTATACAAACTTCTTAAGCAAACCAATATAAACAGTTTAAATTCCAAGATGGAAGTGAAGTTGTACTCTGGAAACTTGTGTTAAAAAATAACACAGAAAACCCCCTCAAGATCTGGTGGGTCTGTTGCTGTTGTTAATTTTGTATGCGTAAGCAGTTGGGTTTTGGAAATAGAAGAGCAGTTAAAAATATATGGATGAAAGTGTCTTGTTGTTGTTGAGTACTGTGTAGCCAGAACTGACCCTCCAGTAGGTTTTCAGAGGCAGTAAATCACTTGGGAGGAGATTGCTCATCTTTCTGCCACAGAACAGCTGGTGGATTCAAACAGTGTGCCTTTGGATTGGCAGCACAGCTCCTTATCATTAGGCTACTCGAAAAAAACCCTAGTGAACTATTTTAATACGATGAGTAGATCTCTTAGTCTCAACTCTATCTCTAACATTTATAAATAGTATTTAACCAAAATATGTTATTTTAAAAATCTTTTCTCTGGGAGAGTAGAGGAAAGTGAGAAATTAATAAAAAGAGTAGCATGGTTTTATGCATGTTAAGTAGTTAACAAATATGTAGGTACAATAAGCTTGGCCCTTTACTTTGAAGAAGATCTGAAGTCTTTTTGCGGTATTGGACTCCAGAAGGGTTGCACTATGTGAGTTTTCTGTAAAATGGTGGGTGCTTGCTGAAAGTAAAAGCAGTGCCACCTTCAGTACGGATTGCATCTCTAAATTCCAAGAAAACAAAGTTTCTTACTACTGGACTGATAGCCAACATCATGGTGGATGGAGAAGAGATTGAAGCTGTCAACAACTTCATCTTACTTGGATTCACAATTAACACTCTTTGTACTGGTAGTCAGGAAATAAGGAGACACATTGCACTGGGAAAGTCTGCAATTAGGGATCTCTGCAAATTATTATAACACTCTTTGTACTGGTAGTCAGGAAATAAGGAGACACATTGCACTGGGAAAGTCTGCAATTAGGGATCTCTGCAAATTATTGAGGAATAATGATGTCAGTTTGAGGACTAAAAGGCATCAAATTCAGGCCATGGCCTTTCCAATCACTTGCTATGCATTTGAGAGCTGGGCAGTGAATAGGGATGACAGAAAAAGAATTGATGCCTTTGAGCTCTGGGGTTGGAGAAGAACATTGAATATCCCATGGACTGCTGAAAAACCAAACAAATATGTCTTGGAGAGAATGCAGGCAGGGTCCTCTTTGGAGACTAGGATGGTGAGGCTTTGCCTCACCTGCTTTGGGCATGTTGCTAAGAGGGGCTGTTCCTTAGAAAGGAACATAATACTTGGAAGGATTGAGGGTCAGTGAAGGAGAGGAAAACCCCCAACCAGGTGGATTGACAGAGTGACTATCGTAATGGGCTCTGGTGTGTCAGAAAGTGTGAAGATGGCACAGGATAGGGCAAGATTCAGATCTGTTGTTCATAGGATTTTTATGAGTCATACTTGACTCAACAGCACCTAACAACAACAGCAGCAATGATAAAGCATTAAAGAGCTAAACCTGGTGTCTGAGGTGCATTTTATGTATTCCCCCATGTCTCTTTTCCTCTGCATACAGTCTTATTTGCTCATTTAATGTTTCTCAGGGATAAAATAGCATATGTTGTAAAGCGTCAAGTTGGAACCAACTCATAGCTGACCCACTGGCAGGTTTTCAGAGGCAGTTAATCGCTTGAGGGGAGAATGCCCATCCTTCTTCCACGGACAGGAACTATACTCTGTGCATATATCCCTGTTACAGTGTACATCATGTTGTTTTGAAGTTTTGCAAAATTGGGTCCTCTTTACCAATAAGCTGTATTTCTTGAGGTTACTGACAGTGTTTTTAACAGTTTTGCTAAGTAGCATATTTTTGGTGTTGGTGGTTGGGTGAGTGGATGGCTGAGTGAATGAATGAAGTAGACTTGAAGAGAGCTATCTAAATTATTCTATTATGTACATGATCTCTTCACTTTTACTAAATTACATATTTTGAGTATCTCGGTTACTTGAACTTAACCGATAGCACTAATTATGCATTTGCACTTGAGCTTTTTGGCAGAATGATAATTTAGTTCCTTCTGTGAACTAAAGTTTACACACCATCTGAATTTTGTGTTGGTTTTGCCACACAATAGGTTAACAAATCAACAGGACTGCCTTACAGTCTTGGGTCAAGGGGGTGTTTGGACTCTCTACCCTTTGCGATCAAGTCCATTCCAACTCTGTAGAACAGAGCAGCACTGCTGCCTGAGGTTTCCATGGCTGTAACTGCTATGGAAGCCGCCTGCCGTGTTCTCCTCCACGGTGGCTGCTGGGGTTGCACCACCTGCCTTGCTGTTGGCAGCTAAGCACTTTAACCACTGTGCCACCCGGGCTTTTAAAAATCGTGGAATGTCGTATAAATCTATATTTTTTCTATTTGCTCCTATTAAAGTTATTGGTGATGCTTTATTGATCAAGTGCAGCCATCTCAAAAAAGGGGAAAATCGAGTTCTTTGAAGATAAGGAGGGGGTGAGGCACAGTCTGATTGTTACTGCAGCTCTTAAATACCGTTTTAAATTATTCTTAATACTTTTTAAAATATATGTGTTTTTTTAAAAAATAGGACCTCTTTGTCATTAGGCATGAATTGGCCATCATGAGACTCGCTGCCTTTATGGGTATTACCATGCTGGTTGGAATCACTGGACTCTTTTATACTCAGCTAATTGGCATCATCACAGTAAGTATGTTTTTCAGTGAAGCAGTGTTTCTTTGAACAGATTTCCTTATTATAAACTTAATTCTGAAGACTAATAGGAAGTTATAAATGGGAGAAAATTACCCATAATTATTTGTGTATTATTATTTTCACATGCGTATGTAATTTTAAAGTAGTTATAATCCATATGTACTGTACATAAACTTTTGCATCCTACTATTAAAAATTAACCAGATACATTTTGTATATGACTGTAGACTAATTTTTAATATATCTGTGTATACTCTCTGTAGAAAATAACCTAGTTTAATTAACCACAGTCTAGTTGATTGGCATCTAGTGTGCAGCCATTTCTTTTTTTAATGTTCTAAATAACACAGTTTTCAACTTCTCTTTTTCATCTTTAAACTCTCTACTTAAGGTAAATTCCCAAAAGTGGAGTTTCTGGTTGAAACATTTTATAGTAATTAAGTCTTCTGTTTTGCTTGTGTTTATTGATGTGAAATCGAAGTTAAGTGACTGTTTATCTAGATGTGAGAAAGAATTCTTTTAACGGCTCATTTAATAACACATGATAGGGAAAGAGAAGAGAGAACGTCAAATTCCTTTTTTAATGTGAAAAAATGTACCTTAATAAGTAATGTTATATTTTCCCTTTTAATTATTACCTGTGTAGGATATTCCAAGTCATATCCCCCTCCATCTAATTGGGCCAGTTTTATCAAACACATAGAATAATAACATATAAGTATGATAATTGGATTATTTTTGGGGGGGGTACCCTCATCATGCATCCATTTCTTAAGGCTTCAGACATTGAAATATTGGGAAATAAGGCTGAAATAATACATTGTAATATCAGTCTTCCTAATTAGCTAAATGACAGTCCTTTATCACAACCAAAAAAGATAAAAAAAAATGAGAAAAATCATTCTGAATCTGGGTTAGAAAGTTTGATAATACACAGCATCACAGCTGATGTAGGGCGAACTTGCTTTTCCCATACATTGTGGGGGTTTAAATTGAAATAATGTATTTACAAGGCAGTTTCCAATGTATATAAAAATTTTTCATTCATGGGCCCTTCTGACCAATGCCAACAAAGTTTCCCAGCCTCTTTTTACTCATGTATATAAATAGATGCATTGAAGAGGTATCATTTGATAGCAGCTAACACAGCAATAAATGACTGTATTATGTATAATATTTATTGCTTATTAAAATGTGTTTACCAGTAACTCTTACCAAACACTTCATAGGGTAGGTTTACTGTGTTTGAAGGCTTGAGACAGTGGGATAACTCAGTTAATGTAACAGCTCATAAAAAGTTTTCCGAGCTGTGGGCCTGGGACATTAGTCTCTACTCATCTGGAGCTCTTGGTTTCTATTTATTGTTCTCTGTCCGTCTACAACACAAGAGCATAAAGAAACCCAAGAAAGTAGTCCACTGGACTAAAACCCCTTTTGAACAAATGACTTCAAGTTAACCTATCAAACTAGATGTTACGTGGTTACCACTTCTGATAGTACTGACTAGGGACACAATAGAATGTCCTGGCGAGATGGTCACAGAGAAAAAGAATGAAAAATGTAGAGCAAAACTCCAATTCCTAAAAGAAGGCCAGACCTGCTGAACCAATAGAGACTAGAAGAACCTTGGAATCTGTTAACTTACAATGACTATGAACTTAACACTAAAGCCACTCCTGGTGGTTACCTTTCATCTGAATAGTAGAAACAGTGTGACCCATGAGCACTGTACTTGTTTTACAATCAGCTGTATGGGGCCAGATAATCAACAGTTACCTTAAAACAAGGGTGATAAGTTAAGGAGAGGGAGGGAAGCCACATTAGTAGAAACAGAACCAAATTAGGAGACATGATGGGAACCTTCACATATGACAAATAGAGCTAATGTTATGCTACAAAATGGTGTAGAAACTGTTACGTCAGAAACAAACGTGCTATGTACATTCACCTAAAACTCAATGAAATACTTTTTTTTGTGATTTGAGTGAAAGTTAGCAAAGCATATTTTCCACTCACTCATTGGTGCATGTTTTGTTCCATATTTTGTTTTATATATAAAAGGTAATGTCCATTCAATTCAGTGTTCTCTTTTTCATCCTTTCCCCCTTTTACTCATCCTTTTATGTATTTGTTGTCTATCAGTTAGTTTTCTACTCTGCTCTGTCCCCCTTCTCTGGTAACCATAACTAGATTGATTCTCTCGATATGTAAACCTATCTCTAAGTTTTTATACCACTGGTCTTATACAGTATTTATCCTTTTGAGACTGACTGCTTTCACTCAGAATAATGTCCTCTAGACTCATGTTGTGTAGTGTTTCATTAATTTTTTAGGGTTTTCCATATTGCATAGTATTCCATTGCATGACCATATGGTAGTTTATCCATTCTTTCATTGGTGGCCAGTTGAACTGTTTCCATCTCTTTGCTGTTTTAAATAATGCTGCAGTAAACATGAGTCTGTTCATGTTGCAACTCTTGCTTCTTTAGGGTATAATCCTAGTAGTGGAATAGCTAGATCAAATGGTATTGCTGTCCACCTTTTTAAGAAAACGCCAAACGGTTTTATAGTGGTTGCCCGTCATTAAAGTTTGATGGTTTTTTTTTTATTATTATTATGCACATCTGATAGGTTGACTAGTATCAGAAAAAATGAAAATAAATTTTGATGAGATTGTGGACAAATTGAAATCTTACACAGTGTTGGTATAAATGTAAAACGTACAGCCATTGTGAAAAACAGTTTCCTGATTCTTCAGAAATTACACATACAGTTGCATATTACCAAGCAATTTCAAGTCTGTATCAAAAAGCCTTGAAAATAGGGACTCAAGTAGATACTTGTGTACCACATTTTATTGTATCATTATTCACAGTAACCAAGAGATGGAAACAACCCAGGATGCCTAAACAAAGAAATTGGTAGACAAAATGTGGTGTATTAGTGTAGTGGAATATTGTTTTGGGCAAAAGAAGAAATAAAGTTTTAATACATTTTATATATATACGTTGTTGTTGTTGTTGTTCTGTGCCGTCGAGTCGTTTGCAACTCATAGCGACCCTATGTACAACAGCCCTAAAC